GTGTAGAACTGCTAGACTGCCACATAAGGGTGGAAGAACTGGCCTGTGGTGACAGACGTGCTGTCTTGTTAAAGCTGGATCCGCCACACCAGAGGGTTTTTTTTTCGCGCGCACACACACACACATTTATAAAATGGTTAGTTCCATTCCTCGATTCTGATTGGTCAGCAGCTGTGTTTTATTCAGTTGTGTTTATTACACGGCTATGCCCGCTTCACCCAACCAAAGAGTATAGAAGACCAAGAGGCGAAACTCTGCTGCTTTTTGGGTAACAGCCACTAGGTGGCGCTTCGGTAGCGCGGCCGCCATTTTGGAGTGAAAATTCCAACTGGACAACAGCACAGAGAGGTCAAAGTGGAATAAAAGAAGGCAATGCAATCCACTGCAAAATCAGTGTGACAGTAAAAATCTCGCCTTTCATAGTTTTCCCAAAGACCCTGACAGGTAATTATTCACAAAAGTGTAAAAATATTGTGTGTTTTGGTAGTTTATGTTGTTTTTAATATAACTCCGACTGGATTCGTCTGAAAGAAGAAAGTCATATACACCTAGGATGCCTCGAAGGTGAGTAAAACACAGACTGAATGAAAAACACACTAATTTTCATTTTTGGGTGAACTAACTCTTTAAAATATTTCATTGAGACATTAATTTTTTTGTTGTTATAATTTTAGCTCTTTTAAATGAAATTATGAATGATAAACTTTTAATATTATTATTGTTATTATTATTATTATTATTATGAAGGAAGAGAAACCTTAAACCTTAATAGTTTTGCATAATCTGTTATTATTATTTCTTTGTATTTGTTCTTTATATTTATTTATTCCTTTATATTCATATAAATATTACAAAAGGCACAAGTAATTTATATTTATGAATTAATAATTCAGATGTTATTATTATTGCTTATAACATTTTCTTCTTATTCTTATTCTAAACAACAAAGAAAGCTTTTTGCCTTGAATATTTATGGTATAAACTTAATACATCTATTTGGCCATTACTATGTATTTTACGCCATCTAGTGGTAATTCGTAATATTACAATTAAGATTTAGTTGGTTATAGTTTTAACTGTTTTAAATGACATCATGATATATACACAACTTTGTTTATAATAAAATTAATAAAATTATAATAATATTAAATAATAAAAGTAATAAATTCTCAAATTTATATTC